CTGATTGGCTAAGACGCGCCTGGCTGCTGCCGAGCTGTCATTCGTAACAGCGAGGACTAACTTTACTATACAACAGGTTTACTCAAGAAACTACAACTTGATACCACCTTCCTGGACAATTTATGACCAGTTTTCCTATCTTGCCTTTCTAGGAAGGTGATAGAAAAGGTGTTGCTTGGCAGCTTCATAAGCTCCTGGATGAAACGGATTATCTATACCCCTCAAAACAGGCCCAACAGAAACAGCATTGTTGCACTGGTGAGAGCGGAATGGGGATTATGCAACCATCCTTGCTGTCCTTGACCTCTCAATGGTCTTCAATGCTATCTACCATAGTATCCTTTTGGGGCAGCTATGGGGTTTGGGGCTGGGCAGTAGAGTCTTGTGCTGGTTTGGCTCCTTTCTCCAAGACCAGTGGATGGTGAGTGCACCTGCCGCTTGCACAAATAAATATGTTTGCGCGCACAACCGCCTGACCCTCAAACAAAGCCACCCTGTCTCCGTGTACTTCAAGAAAGAAACTTCTTTTGAGAATCCACCAGAAGAGTCTATGTGCCTATGACAGTGTTTCTCAACCTTGGCAACTTGAAGATGTCCGGACTTCAACTTGTTGAAGTCCAGACATCTTCAAGTTGCCAAGGTTGAGAAACACTGGCCTATGAGGACAGGTCACCAAGGCAAAATACACAAAATGAGGAAACAAGCCCGCACAAATCCATAGGCAGTGTGAAAAACAAGACAGAACCACTGAGCAAATAAGTTATTAATGACTGATCTTTTTATCTTTCTCCTTCCCCACCCCTTTCAATGGAAGATTAGCTGCTGGACAAACAGTTCTTTACAAGAAGGATTCTTAGTATCCTAGGCAACCTCTGTTCAGAATGCTAACTGCTATTAACAGGAAGTGCTACACCTTTGTACACCAAATTCCCCAGAATTTGCATTTAATCTTTTGAAACCTCACACAGTCAGGCATGCCAACAGAACTTTCTAGATTAAAAGAAATTCTCAGAATAGAGAAACTTGTTGAGGCAGAAACCACACTATACTTTTGAAGACTATGCTAAGGATCAGTGGTTTCTACCGGTTCGCACCTGTTCTCCCGAACCGGTAGCTCTGCTGTCAAGCAGAGAGTGAACCAGTCCTCTGTTGCTTTGAAAGTCGG